CACTAATGAAACTAGCAAGGGTTTTATCAGCAGCGTGAATGGAGAAAGAAAACTCTTCCCAAAGAGTTTTTCTGTCCTCTGACTCTGTTTTGCCTTTGTGCTTGCCATTCATGTGGCACACGTTGCATGTTTCTTCATCCCACGGACAATGAAGAGTTCCTTTGACACAAAACCCTGCGAGCTGCACGTTACAGAGAAGTGAAAATGAAAAATTGTGTCAGGGACAAAAGTTATAGAGCGGAGCCCTGTTATTTGCTGGACCTATTGGGAGGTACATCTAGTCACTTTTTATTTTTGGACTAGGACTGCTGGCAACTTTTTCGTTTTTGATGAAGGTAAGCTGTGCTCAATGTTTGCTTCTCTTTGTTACTCAATCCCACGTGTTCAAGACCAGAAGAGTACTGCAAATGATGACTGTAACAACATGGTAGGGAACCTGGGGTATTTAGATGTACTCATAGTTAAAAGCATAAAGATGGATGGATTTGGGTCTGCTGCAGCACATGTACAAGAGCTTTCCTGTGAGCGTTTCCCCTCTCCATGTGTGCTTTAGGATTTCTGAAATTTTTTCTTCCCTTAACTTTTCAGTGTATCAGGTCATATGGGCAGGAAAGAATGTACATGCTTGTTTACTGAAATTTGCCCTATTAAATAGCAGCCAAGTTTACAGTGCAAAATCTCTCTGATAGTCAGTTTTTTATTATATCAACGTGAAGTTTAAAAAAGACACCAAAGGAATGAAACTCTCAAGACCTGGACTGCCGCATTTTTCTTTCTTGCTGTAATAAAATATTCTTCCCCTGCTTGCAAGTCACAGCACTCTGTGAGAGCTGCAGAGTGGAGGCCAGCACTGGACCATTTGTGGTGTCAGAGCGGAAGAGCGCTATTTGATGGGTTTTGTTAACGCAGCAGCTGCTTTGTGCTTGCTGTTTCCCCTCCTGCTTTCTTGACTGAAGATGTTCTTTTACCTGCTCCACGGAGCTCTGCCTTTCTCCCTCGGCCGTGTCACACTGCGGATTGCTGGCACCACATCACGCGGCTGTCAGCCTGGTGACGATGGACTTCTGTCACTTTGCACATGGGAAGCTCAAGGGCTGACAACTATCCTCAGCTGCCAGCACGCTCTATCAAAACCTTGGCACTGAACAGAAGGAAATATGCCATACTTCTGGCACTGAGCTTTTCCCATAGTTCCACTTCCAAATGCTTTGCTGAAAAGGAGCAGTAGCTTCCTTTGGTTGCTCATTACCAAATACTCAGGGAGTTTGCCGAAAGTGAAAGATGGAGTTGGTGCCTGCAGTTATAGAATCACAGAAGCATTAAGGTTTGAAGAGACCTCCAAGATCATCTGGTCCAACCATACCCTACCACCGATGTCACCCACTAAAGGAGTATTTACAGTGCTCAGAAAAGTGAGATCAAAACGGCATTTCTTGTAAACTCCAAACAGCAACCTTTCCTTACACTACCACTATATATATGCGTGCCTTGTTACAGAATGGAAGTGCAGTAATTTATTTATTTTTTTGTGTTGTCAAGCTGTTTCTAGACTGCTATGAGATGTCTGTACTGATTCCTTGTATTGTGTGGTGGAAATAACCCCGTGCAGCACCATCCCCACTTTGTGTGTCAATGCATATTCTGTGTGGTTCGTTCAGCAAAGTTTAAGCTGTAATGGAAACATTCAGTGGGAACATGTAGTGTACCCTGCATAGTCTAGAATTACATACACTTGGAAAAATCTTAATGGGATATGATGTAATGAAGGGCTATGAAGGTATGAAACATGGATTCCCACTCTCTTATTCCTGCTCTAAAAGGCTGATTGTATATTGCCTGGAAACATGCTTTCAGCTTCAAAGATGGAAGTATCACAGTTCATGAGCATGCCTCCCTGAGCAAATACAGCCCTTGGGCTGTTGCACCTGACACTTGTGGCAGGGAGGGGCACAAAATTTGAAGATGTATAGTCTCATTGTCATCTGCTGGGTAGCGCAAACACGTGCATTTGAAACCCCACAAGTTGAGGAGGAAAGTTCTGCTGTTAGACAGTGTCCTAACATCGTTAGCAATAAAAGTGAATGGTTGCCTCAACATCTTCTAGTTATGTCTAGATGTGTCCTCCCAAGTGTACAGAAAAGAAGCTGAGCAAAAATAAAGAAAAAATAATGTTAGGCCACTTGTTTGAAGAATTCATTTCTGATTGGGACAGTGAATCTTACTTCTAGAACCATGAAGCTTCTACATAAACTAGAAAAAAGCCTAAGAGATGTCAAAAATAAGTCCTGATTGTGCACCATCAAGCCACTCTTTGTCTGTTCCTCCTACAGATTAGACAAAATAGTTGCTGTCCATAGTCTGGGATTCGCCACAAAATGTGTGTGTGTGTGTTCTGATTCTTCCTCTACAAAGGAGAAAATAGAATATACTGCATGCTTAGCTAAAGACAAAAACCTGCAAACTTTCATTTTAAGAATTCTGGATGGCTGTAAGTTACTGTAGGATCAGATTTTTTTGCAAAGACTTGTTGGTTCCATCTTAAAAGCTGGTAATCAACACGTTTATGTCTGGAGATACTTGTGGCTTTGAAAATATGCAAACTTAAAATGATTTAAATATTTTTGTTTTGTTTTTTTTCTGAATATTAAGTATTCTTAAAAATCACTTTGAAAAATAACAAAGAAAATTAAAAGCGTAAAAGAAACTGAGAAATTTATATAATTACTGTTGAAATCCAAGTTTGTACGTTTTGGAAGGCTGTGTGGAACAGAATCACATTTCAGAGTGTTGCTTAGCCCTCAGTATCTGATATACTCACAATCCAAGAAGAACTCTGTTCTTCTCTTGGATAACATTATCATCTTATAGGTAATATGAAAGGAAACGTTATTGAAAACATAGTTTTAAGTAGTAACATTAAATAACATTAACATTAGTTTTAGAATAACTGAGATGTAAAAATCAATTAAAACTTAGTTTTTATTATGCCAATGTTAAAATTATTGGAATGTGGGCACTGTAAGAAGTTGCTGAGCTATTAGCTATTTTTGTGGAAAAAAAAAAGAAAAAAAAAGAATTTTCAGCCAAGCTTTTTATTTTTGGTAAAAACTAAAGATAAAGGTGAGACTTAAAGTGTCGGTTTTAGCTTCTAGTTTGTGCCTTCTTCCCTTAGCCAGAGCCTTTGTGTGTCCCCAGTGAACTGCAGGATTCCAGTGACCCGAATTGTTTTGTGCATGGCTTGTTGTATCACTACCGTAGATCACTGTTTGCATAAACAGCAGCAGCAGCTTGGATACCAGTGCAAAACAGCCTTGTTGAAATGACCATTTGTTGACAACTGCTTCTGGGATCCAGCTTTTAGTCCTTATTTAGTTGTACTTCTCTCCTCCTGAAGGACAGGGAAAAGAGAAAGAATAAAAGTTGGCTGTCATCACCGGTGTCAGAACTAGCTGCAGGACTAAAAGGAGCCATAGCAGGTCAAACCACCATGCAAACTCCTCGTGGGAGTAGGTGGTGTAAAAGAATGCAGACAACCTGTCCCCTGCGATCTTTTAATAATGATTATAACAGTAATAACAATGATAATAATTTCAATTCCTTCTCTGTCAGTATCTTACTTTAGAAAATAGTTTTGACTGTGCTACTGATATTTCCTCCTATAGTTTCAGAGTTCAATGCCTTTTTTGATTTCAACATGGAGGAGAAGAGCTCTGTCTTAGGAATCCCAGTTCTGGAAATCCCATCATCTCCATAATGAATCATGGAAGGCAGAGAACAACATGGCACATATATGTAAAATGTGATTTGATTTTCCCTCCTCTATTGCAGCCCCAACAGCTTTTTTTGAAATCCTATTTAGCAATTTGAGGAAAAGTCTTAAGGGCCAGAACAATTCAAGTATAAGGTAAAAAGTGTGTATAGAAAGAGTATCATATTTAGGAAGATATTTAACAAGAACAATATGAAGCTTTGCAGATATTACTGCAATTTTTTTCCATAACTGGCATTCTATACTGGTTGTATGTTGTGTAAGTAACATTAACATTTATTTTTAGAAAATAACATTAGAAAATATTATCCTGGTTTCAGAAGTGAATGAAGCACTTTGGCTTTTATATCTCATTGCTGGAAAAAAACATCTAGGGTGCTGAAGTTAACTGTGGAGAAATTGAGTAAAGATAAGATGTTCGGAGCTGATGGTTTTTTCTTTTTTTTTTTCCCTAAGTTGATCGTCTGCTGTGAAGTTCTCCATAGTCAGAGTGCTTCTGTGAAGAGGACCCTGATTTCTATTTGGCTTAGGTATTTAAATGCTATGTAAGAAATGGGGAAGGATTGTGTAAGAGAGAATATTAATAATGAATATGCCTATAACTTTTAAAACTTCTTTTAAATTTAGGTGAGATTTCAAAAGAGTTGCTACTACATTAAACATCTCAGTATCATTGACGTTGGGGGACAGCACTTAATTTCCTTTAAAAATTTCCTTTGAAAATCCAAATGCTTTTTGGAGATGAAGAAATGATTAAGCAATAACGTGTATGGAAGCTGCCTACCCTTCTTTCAGAAGAAAGAATGTGAACAATAAAAACTCTCACAAGCATGTTCCTTTTGTGTAGGTCTCCAGGTTTTGATGGTCCCCCAGTAGTCATGTGTGTGTGTGCACAATTTTGTAGTATTCATATGAATTCAGCCACCATTTTAGCAGTAGCTGTGTTGTTTTAAATATATATATAATATATATATATTTTAAGTTGTCACTTGGGCATCTTAACATCAGACCCGATATGTAATTAGTAAATATTGTCTTTTCAGAGCCTCTGTAATCCTTTTAAGACATTATGGAATTTTTCTAGGTAGGCTTGAGAAACACTGTACTCTTAACACGTATATAATACCATATTTTGTTATTAGTTTGGAGATTTGATAATACTATTCCTTTAAAAATAAAGTTACTTTTTTTTTTTTTTTTTTTTTTATATTTTCAGAGGCATAAAGGGACATTCTAGCAAGAATTGAGACGTTACAATGAAGGATAATTTGTTCTTCTGATGACAGTATTTTCTGGATCATCTCATGTGAAATGAGTGTCTGTTAACAGCATTATCAGACTTTTGTTCTTGTGCACATCAGGTAAGATGTCTTCTTTTGTTAGTAGGAGTTTGCTCCTAAACAACAAATTTTTGGCTGCTTGGCAAACTGAGACCTCAGAAGAGTGGTCATATACTTGCATGTTTTCTGGCAAATTGAAAATACTTTGGAGTGTTTGGAAAGGATCACTGATAATGGTACTAAAGTAGCACAGTTTGGTGCAATTTCTACTGTAAGAAATCCTTTAACAATGTTTTTATTAAGTCGTTAAGAGTAAAGCGTATGTATCATTCAGCCATGTATTTAATTGTTGGCCCTCCACCAACTGCTTCATGAGGTGCTACATACTTTGGGACAGCTTCTAAAGAAAAACTTCTTAAATGTTTTATGACATGATTCTAAATTTATCTGATTTGCCTTCTATGTTTTTTCCCTCTTACTCAATTCTTTTCTCTATGAGGGATGCTCCTCTTGTTGAGGTAAAGCTAAATGAGTCCTATGACCCTGGGAGGAGTTTAGCATGACTGAGCAATGAGCCATGAAAAAACACCTTCAAGTTCGGCAAGCCCCAAGGCCATGGAGCATCAGAACCTGGAAGCATACAGTAGAGGAAAAATTACCAAATTCTTGCCCTGGAATTTGACCTCGATTTTGTTATTGATTAATATCAGGAGCAGAGTATGGGGTTGGAAGTGCTTTTGGCCTCACCCAGTACAGACAATTTCATGTTTCTGTCACCTGATGTGCGTGGTCCTTCCTGCTCACCTCATTCTGCGGCATGGGCTTTGGCGGCAGGGCCTTCACCACACCTCAGCATCCATCCAAAAGACACCTCCCATGGTCATTTCATGCCCATTTCTGCAAGAGCAGATGCAGCTGTGCTCAATCGTTTGTGCAATTTCAAAAACATTCTCTGTAAGGTGCTTGGGTAAGGAAAAAAAGAAAGAAAGCAGTCAAAATGAGAAACTTCTGGCCAGCTGTGCTTCACAATGCCTCTCAGTAGAATGCAATTGTTGTCTTTCCTCCCGTCTAAACCAAGGCTGAAATTTAATTTGAATGTCCTCTAGCCATGCAATACCCCTGGGAATGAATCCTATAAAACAGGCTGTATCAGGCCTGTACGAACTGTAGACCTGTTCAGTCTGAATGAGCTCTAACTTCATTATGTTGGTACAGAATAATTAGTAGAAAACTGAAATGCAATTTTGTCTGAAGAATGGCAGGTCTGAGGCTGTACCTCACCTATAGCCTTGCAAGGCTTTTAGTGTCCTGACAAGCAATCAGTCAGAGCAGGAATGTTGAGTGCATTCATTTTTTACTTCAGTTCTTTTCTTACAGGAGCTCAAGTGACGCCACTGAAACCCTGGCATTTATCACAGACAAAATTAGGTCAGAAGAGAGCAGAGGTACTGAACTGAAAAGAGATAAATTCATCCTTAGAAGGAAAAAAAAAAGTCTGAAGCTGCAAACTTGGGTTTAATTTGTCTCCTCCACATAAGGTAAGAGTTTTCCCAAGGGATTTTCCAGCCAAGTAAGCAGTATCTTATAAATGTACGATCAAGTTGTATAGGAAGGCTATGAAATACTCTTTGTTGGGCTATGTAACTACAAGTAGCTAAATAACAGAACCATTTTTTCCCTAAATGTAAACAAAAGCAGCCTGAGGAAGAATCTGTTCCAGTTTAATCTTACACTTGGTGTCCAGTCATGCAGGCTGATGAGCATGTTTAGGTAGCAGTGACAGTGGCAAGATTCGCCCGTTGTTATTTCTCAGGACCCTAGAACTTGTGTTCTGGTTACTACCAGCATGATGATAAAGCCAAGATATGAAAGTTGACATATATACAACTACTGTTGTGATATTTTCTAACGTGAAAAATTATGACTTTCTAATTGACAGTTAAGGAAAACTTTAGCATCTTTGATGTAGAACATATTCCTTAATTGCACATTCTGTTATCGTTTAGATAAAGCTTTGAACGTTTCACTTAGGAAATAGTCTCCTGAAATATTCCATGTATCTCCAGATACCTCTGGTTTTACCTAAATATCTTGCAGAACTCACTGGTGTATTTGCCACTTGCTCATCAACTCATGTAAATCTGAGATTACTCAGATCCTTTCTACAGGCTTTCTTCTCTTTTAAAAGTTCCTGTAAGTGATTAATTTTCCTGTTGAAATCACTGAGCCTACCTAAATCTGTAACACTAATGACTCTAACAATAAGCTGGGTAAGTCTGGATAATTACTCAAGATCTCTCTGCATCAGTTATTTTTGTTTGGGGAGTAGAATTATTCAAAACTTTCTTACAACCTACCTACAACTTTCTGACAGACTGCAGTCATCTGGTTCACATCCCGTAGCACTGCATGTAACATTTAATATCCCAGTGAATCAAAGTCTCCTTCAGCAGACAGGATGAGGAGAAGAGTATTGGAAAGAGCAGGATAGCGGAGATGGTGTCTGATGATTTTTCTAGTGATAATAATGTGTTATATTCCATCTTGTGCATTCGTCCTGTTATTTACCTTTATGATGTGACTGAATTCATTGAGGCTACTCACGCATGTAATCTTAAGCACACGTGTTTGCAGGCTTGCTGCCTTCATCCATGGGTTGTGCGAGCTGTGTGAGTTCATTCTGAATAAGAATGACAGGGTGTCTGAATGCATGCTTCTGCAAGGGAAAAATAAGGCTGAACAAGGTGTTTCCTGATCTGGGAAACCAAACAGGAGGAAGAATTTGACAGAGCTCTGGCCACCAGGCTGCAACTCTGACAGTGAGCAGCTGAGGTGACCCCTGCAATACAGCATGAAGCAAGTCAGCCAAACACATGCAGTTCCAGATGTTCTGTGCTTTGTGTAAAACCAAGGTTATGAGTAGAGTCCACATAATGCAAGTGTAAAATACTTGAATAAAAACACCTCCAAAATTTGACATCTTTTTCCTAATATTGCAGCTATACCAAGTGTGTTTGACAAACTAGCACATATTTGTTTAAGAGCATCTCTTCTGACCAGGTCTAATACTGATTAACTTAATACTGCTTACATTTCTAATACTTGCTTAACCTTTGGTATTTCTGATGCTACAGCTTATTTTTGTAAATATTTTTTGCAAATTGTCAAATACTTGTGTATAAGCAATGACTGAATTTGTAGCCATGTCTTAGGGTGTCAGACATGGACCTTTTTAGATAATTTCTTTCAAGAATTATAAATCTATTTCAACACATCCTATAGTAAAGTCGGATGCCTGAAAGGACAAACTTTTTATAAGGTTGATAAATAAAAGTTATTCTATTAAGATCCTATTGTTATTGCTAAAACATTTAATTAACTGGCATCTAAAGAATTACCACATCTGCATGTGGGAAGAATAAATCACTGAGGTAGAAAGAACAAGACCTTCTTAATGTCCTTGTAAATAACAAGGAAAATCTGAAGATTTGCCTGGGAGCTGATGTAAAAGAGGAATCTGGTTTAATGTGCTGACCTGATTCTGTTCCTCTTGGTAACCTTGCTATAAGGTTTTAAGTCAGATGGGGTATATCTGAGAATGTAAAAGAAAGTAGTATGGATAATGAAATGTTTTAACTGAAATGCAGAAAGACGCCGGGAATTCTAGTTTGTTTGTTTGTTTTGCTTTGCTTCAAATATGGCAAATTGTTTTAGAGCATAAGTGCATATATAAACCAAAGTGTGTTTGTCTGCCTGTGCTGTCACTTAAATTTGAAAAAAATAAATGAAATAAAAAAAATAACTGTGTAAACCTGCGCATAATAGATATGTAACTATACACACATTATAGTTCACTGTAATAAAAGATGATTGCTTTCTTAAGAATAACAGAATACATTTTAACACAAACTTTAAGAGCCTAATGATGTCTTTCAGCCATTAATATCCTAAATGGATGTAGCTATTTTTTTTCTTCAGAGTTGATGAAGAAAAATATATGGAAACACCTTTTCTATGTTGTAAAGTATCAGCCTTATCAGCCTTGTTAGGTACCACAGCTTAAAAATAAGACTGAGAAAAGCTAAGCTACATGTATAGCTAAGCAGTAGTACATTTGCAAATGTGTAATAATGTGGATTACAGACTCGCCAGCTCAGACTAACTGCTTGCTCTGATACCAAATGAACACATTGCTAGTGCATTTCTCTTTGAAATGTTCCCAAAGCTGCAGTTGCTCAGGGGCTGTAAGGGGCAATCATGTGAGACAAGGATAAGTCAAATGTCTCTTTTGAAGTGCTGAATTATATTTTTATTTTTTATTTTTTGAGCAGTATTCTCAAAATGGAAGTTAAAGTTCAGTCTTCTGCAGGAGAGCTTCAATGCAATCTGTACTTTGGAGAAAAATCACTGTCATTTAAGTGCAAATGATAAGGACTTTTGCTGTCCTAAGTGAAAGTCCAGGACTTCAAAGTTCAGTTTTTGCCTTGCACCAGTTGTCGGCTTCTGACATCTAAACTCTGAAGTGAGGTTGATCTTTGCTCTGAAAATTGATAATTTGGTCTCAAAGGTTGAAATTGTCAGGGAAAAAAACAGACCTCTCTAAAGCTGAATTTTGGTTTTCATTTTGACAGATTGCTTCTGCATAGGAATTGTCAGAGTGACTGCATGGTTTTTCATTTGCCCTATGTATGCCTTGTATGAATGGAGCTGATTGACAATTTTCCAGTTAAAGAAATCTGATTTAATTCTGATTCATAAAAAATCTTCCCAATCACACTTTAGGGGTGGAAGAGAAGAGGGGAAAAGGGTTTGTGTGCATGTTCTGCTGCCAAATAGCAAGTAACTCAGCTATGAAAGCTCCTACTGCAAGCTAAGGTTCAGGCTGAGATTGCCATCTCTCCTGTCCCTCAGCCACCAGCTATCCAGGTAAGGTCTCTCATGCTGTTTGTGCAAAGTGGAATAGCTCCAATGGAGCTGGAGACACTCAAAACAGCTGGTGATCATGGTGATCATCCCTTTGGGATCTTTGAGACCAAGGTTCTAGCCCCATTTTGGAATCACTGAGAATAATTAATTTTTGGAACAATTTGAATAAAAGGATTCTCTGCCATGCAAAATCCCATAACAAGCAAATCAGGTGTTTGAGTTCGTATCTCTGATGGCTGGAGGTGTGCTCCACCTGTGGGGGTATGCTGAATTGAATCTGAGTCCATAATTGAGAATAAGTTACAAACTTTGAAAACCTTTCGTTTCACACCATCCTGATGTGACATGCATATGTTTTGGTTGTCGTTTATATCTTCATCTTCTGCAGGATTTCTCCATTAGCTTGTAGGGCAGTCTGTAGTACTGTGACCACATGCCTCTCCCTCATGTTGTATCATTTGCAGAACACTTGTCAAATGCTATGCATTGCTTCGATAACCCACTAGGAGTAAGTTAGGGCTGTGTAGCAGGTTAGGCTGTCAGTGAGATCTCAGCTTTGCTACAGAGGGTAGGTAGGCAGTGAGAGAGGGAGCTGGAAAATGAAGGAAATACAAAAGAAGGCAATGGAGTCATGGATAAGTTAAGTGATATCATACATAGTGTATTAAAAATACACTCTTCTACAAAGTAAGCGTAGTCAATAATGACTTACAAAATGCTTAGCTGAGGAAAGGATGATTGTCTGGCAGTGGATTTCTGTGAAGTGATACTAATTTCAGTAGTTTTAGTTTTCTTCATGAATGGGAATCACTGTCCTTTTCTAGATTAATCTGTTTGGAGATGTCCATGTAACTTCTGCCTTGTTCTCTTGTCTCTCATCGTTGTCTCCTCCTCGTTTTATTCCCTCACTGCCCACCCCAGACATCTCATCAAACTACCTTTGTTTGCTTCCTCCCTGTCTGTCCTGCCTATGCTGCTGGTTTTGAAGCACTGGGGAAAACAGACTAAACGAGATTTGCCCATGGTGTGCCCAGATGAGTGTTCAGGCAGTGGCATGCTTCAGGAGGGGAGTCAGTGCTGGGGACAAAATAACTTAAAATCATTGCATTTTAAGTTGCAGATAATTTATACACCGGTCAGGCTTGCTTGCTTAGTTGCTAAGGTAGGCTTATTTGAAATTTTAAATGCTGTTAAATGTCAAGATGTACAACTAGATCAATGCATGCCCCTCACTCTTAGACAAGCACATCTTCCAAAGCATACTGGAAAGAACTGATACAGTAAGTAATTATCTTGATATCTATGATTGATCATCTTTGATAAATATAGTAAGTAGAATTTTCACACATGAAAATAAAGGAACCGGTACTACCTGCACGTGTAGTGTTTGTGATGCCAGGACTGTAACCAGTTCTGGCATTATTAGTGTGGCCATATGGGGCTGTAACACAGCTCCAGGTAGCCTAGTGGTAACTCTCAGACAATTGCCACTGGTAGATGCTTAAGCGAGAATGTATAATGTATCAGCATACAGTGATACTTCCCAAGGATATTT